TGGATTTTATCGTAATTTTCGATATTAAAAACGAATTGAATGAGATCATAACTCAAAGTGACCACTTCAATTACGTGGAGAATGGCTATCGAGAGCGGCGAGCATCGCATTTCAAATTTTATCTTAAGTCTTTTTGATATGGGACTCATTCACATCGTTACGAAGGTCATAACAAAACAACACCAGGAAAGTACCATCGAAACATTTCATTAGGTTGAATCAAGATGCAAAAACAAATATCTACCATTCAACAATTACACAGAAGAGTAAATAATGTGCATCCATCTATACCTTCAGATAGAATCAAGATCGGTGAATTGCCATTTCAAGCCAAATTCTCAGAACAGTGAGACCACGTTATGTTCATTTGGCGCGTGATTCGATTATTTATTATTTCAGTACATTGCTTAAGTGCACCTATCACAACTGATGATTAATATTCATTTGTTCGAATATTTATTTGTTTGCTGATTTGGTGAAATATGTATATCTATCTCTCGAACGCGCTTGGATGAATACACACACATACACAAGATAAATTGAATTTACTTCATTTTCGGGGATGAATAATGTGTGCCAAGTTCATGAGAGCAAACCAACCAGAACCGAAACTCGAAATGAAACCCTAAGAACGAAAAATAAAAACGTTCAAGCGCGTGCATCACAGATACAGCATTGATTACATTTCGTTGTTGCTTCATTTGGTTGGATCGTCTTGTTGGCATTGTAATCTTCTGCTCTCGCTGAATGTGCTATACAATAGTATTCGATTTCAGTGGCATCATTTTTCAATTTGACATTTCGAATTCGTTTGTGTTCTTCAATGCGACCGCTCGAAGCCAATTTTTAGTTGAAGTTTGTTCTTTCCAGGAAAGTGATACCGATTCTGGCAGAGAAAATGGTTTATTCGAACGAATACAGCAATGAAATTGTACAGAATTCATAGTAAATTGCAAAGGTTGCAGGCGTGTGAATCACATGAAAAAGCCAAACCCATAATTATGACGTGCAAACAAATGATAAAATCATGTTTTTTTTAATGCTACCAGCAGATTTGTTTCTTCTCCATTTCGAATTTTTGATTATTCCATTCGCTAGCATTTCATAGAGATATCAAACATTTATTTCGCTCTAAGAAATTATTACTGCAATTAACTTGTTGAATCATTCCTGTCTTGTGTTTATTACATTTTGCAAGGGGGGTTGACGTATATGAGATTGGAGACTTTTTTTTGCGAATCTCGCTAATGAGCGCCATCTGATTTTAGTGTGAATTAGATGCAAAAATCAAATTTATTTCAATAATTTGGAATGTATTTGAATGTTATAGTTTCAACACAAAAATTGTATTAAAAATCATTCAAGTAAATCAAATTGAAATTAAATCAATTAAAAATCATTGTACACACACATAAAGCATATAAAATAATACAACTAAATTATAAATACTCACACCATTCTATGGGAACCTAACAAAATCGTATTATTTCAAATTAGAATTATTTTTATTTCATATAAATGATTCTATTTATTTTTTCAAATTCATTCTATTAGAATTATAAATAAATAAATTTCTATTTATTACAGAAAATAATGATTCATTATTAATGAAACAGAAAAAATTCTCCACAATGTGAAAATACGAAGTTACGTATATATTATGACAGCTGTGGTTACGTATACGTCGACATTAATAATCTGTCAAAACCGTAAACACATTATTTTCATAACGCAATTTTGCGAGAGTTCCTATTAGTTGAAAAAAATTAAATTTTTGTGTGCAAACTGTAAGTTATTTTGTGATTTTATTGTGTTTAGATTGAATACGATTTCATAAATTTTTGAAAAGTGATTTTACAGTAACAAGAAATGTAAAGCAGAAAGAAAAAAACCAATAAATGAGTTTAGAACGTTTAGAATATGCACATTTTCGTGATATTCTAACCTCAATCGCTCTTTACTCTCAGTTTTACATTCTTTATATCAACAATTATTTTATAATTTAAACAGGAAACGCAAAATGGTTTAGTGCGATGTATGCCAGCAGAATATTTCGGGAAACATTTACAAGCACAAAAGAGTTGAGCACAGTTGGGATCGAGGTGGTATTAAATTGATTAAACAGGAAGATAAAACTCTGATCGAAGCTATACAAAACGAAAAAACATTCGTTGGACCTTCGCTGTTATATTTGAAACGTCTCGCAAATTATGCGGTAACACAAAATTTTCAAGCCACATTTTTTGGAGTCGACTC